GATTCCGTCTCGGACACAATTCCGGAATTCCGTGATGGAATCACACCATCTCTCCTCACCCTCACTTGTTGTCTTGTGTTGCAAAGTTATACCCTTCCAAAGACGACCGAATTCCGTGAAATACGGAATCAGTGGGAATTGGACGGAATTCCTAGCGATTCCGCCTCGGACACAATTTCGGAATTAGTTGGAGGAGTTCCAGAATTAGTTAAAGAAATTCCGAAATTACTTGGAGGAATTTCGGAATTAGGTTGGAGGGATTCCGGAATTGGTGGAACTGATTCCGCGGGCGGAACTGGTTCCGGAATCTGCAACATTGCGGAATAGGATGACTGCTCAGTTGAAGACATTCTTCCATCTAATACTTGACTTTTTAGATTTTCTATCATGCTTATATTATTTTTTTTCTATATATGTGTATTTCTAAGCTTCATTTCAAAAATATTTTTCCGCTCTTTCTGATACTCAAGGTAGTCTGTACTTAGACAATATAAAATGTAATTAACGGACGTATATGTACGGAATGTAAGGGGTGCGAGTGTGTATGTGGTTGCGGGTGAGGCGTAGGTCTTCGTCTTGATGTCGGTCTGGATTTGTATCTTGTTTTAAACCACATTTAGCCCACACCCTTTTCTGATTGAACATAGTCACAAATCATTTGAAGAATTTCGGTTAACATTGTCAAAAGATGTAGAAACATGATAGGATGATGATTTTCTTAAAGGGCAATATGATAATGGTACGGACAGTTTATTTCTTAAATATGCTGAAGATCCTATCAAAGTAGTAAGTGCACTTCAACATGCTGTTATGAATAGAAATCCTTATATTTAGTATCAACCAGGTTGACAATCCAGTCTTATTTTTTCCATGCACTTTCTATGATACTTGCTTGGTGTGTCAATCTGATTCTGACTAAATCCGTCAAGCCAAGTATTCTTGCTGCAAATGTTTACAAACAATCAAAAAACTGAAGTATTTTTATATCTAATAATACCGATAAAAGGAGTGTATTTTTTTAATTCCTAAAATAAACTTTCCGAAATAACGTCTAAATTTATTTATCGTATAATAAGAAAGAAAATTTCTTCGCTGAACATCAAAATGTGAACTTAGCTGAAAATATTCACATGAGACAATGTAATACAAAAAGAGTTATAGATAGGAAGGATTGACATTAGGACAGAGACGAATTAACTACAAACATAAATCATTATATAGTTGATTTAATATTTTCGTGCAAAACACAAGTCAAATTTTTATCATTTACAATAATCATTTAATATGAAACATAAAGCAACACTAATCTTCATCAGTTAAAAATCTTGTATTATTGATAATCAATGTTATGCATCGATTGGTAAATTATTCTTGTCAAAGAAAGATTTTATTTTTAATCAAGTAATATTAATGATATGATTTTCAAAGTCTTCACTGTTCCATTATTAGAAATTTCAATTTATACGCCATATATTTTTTCACAGGACGATTTTAATTGTCTTATATACTTAAATGGGGTCGTAGGGTGTTGTCCCTTTGATATTATGAGTATATTTTTCTGTCCGAGTCTCGTGAAGAGGTCATTTTATATACATCAAATACTACTTTGAAATTCCTTTTTTTGTAACTAGATATTACCTTTAGTATTAATAACTTGAAGATAAATTATAATAATATAACATAACAAAATGAATAATATTTTATACGCTGTGCTGTTTCTCTTTCCCAAGCAGTCATTTGATGGGTATTTCGAGGTATCGATTTGAACTATCCGATGGGTTGATAAAATTAAGAATTGTTCACCCATCGTCGTCCCCTCGACCTATCGGAAAATGGCACTCCGACTTATCGAGATGGCACTTCGATGTCCATCGAAGGACCTTTCTCGATGAGTTTCGATGGGCCCGATTCGCAGTGCATCGCGAGGGGTCGATATTCCGAGTACTCGAGCGTTTTTCTAAAATTTCAAAAAAATTTCGCTCCCTGCATCTGATTTTTTTCGAGTACTCGATACCTATCGGATATTTTCGCGGAAGTGGAGATTCGAACATATGTACTTACGGATACAAAGTCTGCATAGATCAGATGATCTAAACATAACGTTTTAAATTTAGATAAATCTACGTATCATCATGAAATATGTTTGACTTCTATATTTTTTTCTATTTGCTTTAAATATATATTTAATTAGTTTTTTTCAAAAGCAACTCGTAAATACTGCCATCGCTGATCTTAAATTAAAGCGATTTTATCTGTTATCAGTTTCATTGTATTAAATAAAAAATTTATGCTAAAGCATAAATTACATTGCAATTAATTAGATTATTTTAAAAAAGGAATAAAAAAATATTGAACTAAAATTAGACTAGCTTGACTTATCTAACTCTACTAAGGTTGTAATATTCAACTATCTCAGTAATTTCGACGAGTAAAAAATAAACGATAGTTTTAAATGATCCCATGAACTTTCTTTGTCAACGAGTAATCGAAAATCAGAGATAGTCAAAAGCTCAGAAAATTTGGGGCGTTATGAAAGTAAATTCATTATGATTATTTTTTTCTGAGGATTTTCGAGCGGTCGAAATATGTTCAAGTAGTCAAAAATAAATGTACGATGGAAAACTGCTTCAGAGGGCTCGAAATTCGATGGGCATTGAGGGGTTCAAAATTCGAACAGAACGAGAAAAATATATATATTCAAGTTTCGACCACTTGCCGCGTCCATCGTTGGCTTTTCAGGATCTGCTTGAGTGTAAACAATGTACTTCTTCATTCAGATGTTGAACTACTTATTATAAATATTTTGTTAGATTTTTCATAATTTACATGTATATATGAGTCATTTCATGTAAGCTACGGTCGAGAAGGTGTGGATATGGTGTGGGTACGCATGTCGGATATGTGTGCGGAGTCTCTAGGAAAAATTGTTGATTTTTTCGAGCTAGATTCTTAAAGGATCCAGTCAAGATCCTTCCAGAATTTACTCGTTTTTCCTGAGGAAACAGCTAAGTTTTGAAGGAAGTGTGTAACCACGAAATTACAAGAGCCTGATAGGATTCGAAACAAGCTTACATCAAGATCTTGAGCAGATTTCCATTGTCATTGATCTTATAATAAATTATAAAATAAGATGTAGTTGTGAACAACAGTTCTACTTATGTTAAATCACAATCACAGCCACTGATATATCCTCTGGTTGGCTTTATGTTGAGACCTTGATCAGTTTTAGCTGCAATAGTTGACTGGATCTTAATACCAAGACGACGAAGAATCCTTAGCAGGACCATGATTGAAAACTTGAAGGATCCTGCATTCATCATGTACAAACAAATCTGGCCAGGAACGTGAAGAAATTCTGAACAGGATCTTGTGTAACCTTGAGTAAGCCTGAAAACAGAAATTATCACGAATTGAGTCAGGGTCCTGACAAATCCTTCCAAGTTTTCTCAAAGAATGAACAGGATTTAGATTAGAGACTCTTCAACGACACCCAGACCGAGATTCACACCCATTAATAATTGCCTAAAATCAATTTTGATTTTAACCAGAAATCAGTATATCTTATTATATATCGTTTTGAAAATTTTGTACGTTCGAAACAAATAAGTGTAGCAGCTCGATTTGATGATTATTTTTACTACATACATCAACTTCGATTATATCACCTGATCCACTTCATTTTATATGCAGCTCAAATAGGCATTCACATTCCTGGTCAATGAGTCGATTTCGGTATAGAGAGACGAAGCTCATACTGGCGATCCGTCCCATTTCTGTGCCACGGCACACATTCAGATGCTTCTCGATACATTGCTAGGGAATCTGCTAAAACATTTGGCATAAAGACCAGCAACTAGAGCTTATCAAGTTCGTATTCTGGTCTAAGTCGTTTTATTAAGGTCCAAAATTAAAAATCGGCAAGAATCCATCTCTGATAGCGGTAGCGTAGTGAATGAGTTAGGTGGTTGTCGATAGATATTTTCACATATCTTTATATATCGTTCATTTTTATTGACACAAGATAGAAATAAGAGTATATAAAAAGTTAAAATAGTGCAGATAAAAGAAAATGATAATAATAATGAAGAAGGAAAAAAATCAATCAAACAAGGGCAAAAATCGGCATGCGGTAAAAATAAATATTATGATTATTTATTAGTTGTTGTTGATTTTCCATTGACAAGTAATGGTAAATCTACAGCTGGTGCTGACGAACGTTTAAGCAATGAACTTGATAGACCAGCATAATTTTCACGTCTTATTTTAATAATTTCTTGTGCTGTTACACCTGTAAATACTGTTGATGTTATTTATTTTTTAATAGGTTGTGAAACTTGATTAACATTTGATGCTTGCTCAAATGCGTTCAGCAATACTTGGACCATCTGATGGAATTGTTGTTCTTGGTGGTGGCATACGTTCATTAACTTGATCAAGTATTTTTACTTTTGAAAAATGTTCTTTTGCTGATGCTGTGTTTTCACGAAGAATTGAAGCTGCAACTTCAGCTTCATCTTTTATCTCTTTATCTAATTCTGTAATACTATGTAATGGTGTTAAACCATGTAGTGTAACGGCATTTTCATTTAATTCACGTAATTTTTTATAAGTTTTAGCAACTTTACCAACAGCACGTATTTTTGAACGTATTTGTTCTTTACGTTGTTCTATTTGATTATGTTCAATTAATGAGTAAAAATGTTCATCATATTCAGTTAATTCTTCATCTGTACATATATTAAGAATTTGTAAAAGTAAATCATTGATTTTTTCACAAATAAATGGTAATGACCATTTAAATATATTCATAAAATTTGGTAAACAATATGGATGTGGTGAACAATTAAATTGATGAATATTAACAATATTATTTTCATATTTCATAATAGCTGCTTTATTTTGATAAACATCACAATAATTAGGTGCTGAGAATAGTGTTATTAATGATGGAAAATTAGTATCAGCTGATTTTTTATACATACGATACCCCATATCTTGTGCTTCATGAGCACGTATTACTGAAAGTATCTGATTACGTACTAAAAATTCATTAATAGCAGCATAAGTATAAAAATAAGAACAACCACGTGCTGCATTAGGAAGATATAATGATCCTGATGAAGTAGCTATTGCCGATGATAATTTTACTGGTACATTCATGCGAGGAGTTGCAACTAATGTTAATGATCCTTCTTCATTTCCATAATCTTCAGTTGGATCGGACCATAGTAGATCACACATTGCACCGTAGGCTGGTGGTTCACGAAATCGATCCAACTAGAAAAATAAAAAACAAGATTGAATTATTTACAATGAAACAGTCTCAA